CCCCCCCCCCCCATCTTTTAGGTTTGATGGACAGTATTCAAACTAATGATGTCTGTAGGCATTTTGTTATGAAGCTTTCTAGATTCGGACTTTAACTAGATGAGGAAAGAGAGACTTCAATGTTAGGCTAAGGTTACACCTAGGCGACACCTCACCGGATTGCCGCGTGGTCAGGAGCCGCCAAGGTGTGAACCGATTGCGCTGTGGGTGCCATTATTTTGTAATGGCACCCCAGTCGCGCCGGGCGGATCGTGCGGTTGCCGCCCGTGCTTCCGAGCACCACTAAGACAGCCGCGCATCGTGTATCGCAACAAAGAGGTACTTGTACCTTTTTTTTTTCTGCGATTGCTGCCCGGATGTCACCCCATTGAAATCAATAGGGCTGCGTGGCAATCGCTGCCTGCATTGTGCAGGACCGCACGACACCCGGGTGTCGTGAGGTGTAGTGTAGGTGTGAACCTAGCCTAACAGTGTTGGATTGGAAAAAGATGATGAACATGATTTTAAATGCCCAATACCAGCCCAGGCGCCTTCAGTAGAATAGAAGCAAGGTGGGGACGATCAGTCTGGTTTTTATCGGTCTGTGTCCTTTTTGGGAAGAAATAAAAGGTTGGGTTGGAGATGGGCTTTAAATTCCATTTTATTTTTTTATTTTATTTTTTATTTTTCTTAAAAACAATGAAAGCAATTTTAAAAGTTCCGGTTTGTTGTACCACTTTTATCCAGGATTGGCCAAGGGCAGCCGAAATCTCCATCTCGCATAGCCAGAAATGACCTTTTGTTTGTTGATACAAATTGTATCTTTTTTCTTGATTGTATAAAAAACACTTACGGATAATGTGTAATGTAAATAAATAAATGTAAATATTTATCCTTATTAAAAAAAAAAGTCAAAGTATACACAGACAAAAAAAAGTGTAGAATAGTTACAGCAATGCATTTTCACTGCTATGTTTGTGACACTATGTGTCACTTTGTTGTAGTCCATGGTGTGGAAGCCACTTCACTGCCATTGTGCCTGCAGCTCTCTACCTGAAGTACAAGGAGTTGCAGGACTAGGCCACAGTGACGAGGTTAAATGACTCCTTAATGACTTGGCAATGTAGTTTATGAAGAAACAGACATTTTCCAATTCACTTTATGATATAAATCTCTAGAAATGTGTATATGAATGGCTCCGATAATGCATAGGTAACCTGTGCATACATTATATGTCTTCTATTTATTAAAGTGGACCCATCTCCTTACACAGTGGAAGCCGCCATATTGTGGGTGTAGCCTTTAAATATGATCATGCCCGGAACATGCCGCTTCAGTGAGGAGTAAAGCTGCTTGTTCATCTTGTTGAAAGTGTGCAATATGAATTCCTAGGGTAAAGCAAAAAAAGATGTGCAAAGTGATGTAGCCAATAGCAGCCAGCGTGGTTTCAGTTCACTGAAGTCTGATCTGAAAATTGCAGTGATTGGCTGCTGTGGCTACCCAATTTGTGCTTTTTGTAACGTGTGGGTGAGTGTATTTTCGTGACTATTGGTCCACCCCATAAAATGGCAGCCTCTACAGTTTACAGGTGACAGGTACACTTTTTATTGACTTTATGTTCCTAAGTAGGAATCTTAGTATGGGCACTTGGGGTTTTTGTAGTATTTTGTAAAATGTGCACTGCAAAGAAAGAATCCGCATTGTGAAATTCCACTTGAGTGCTTGTGTAGCAATTGTTTGTGCTGTGACCCGTGCTGTGCGTATTTTCTATTTTTTGATTTTGTTGCATGGAATCAACTTTTAAGTACAGTAAGTTACTGGGATTTGTGTATTTGCACTGGCAGTATGGCTTCTGCGACATATACGTATGCTTATTAGTCTGACATTCACACTAGTTAGGAATGACTTGACCTTGTTGTGATTTCTCACATGAGGAGAATATTGGCGTGTCTTTAAGGTTTTGTTCCCTTTTTTTATTGTAGACAGAACAGATTCTATTCCGGTATATCCGAGGAGTAGGCTTCGCTTGGCGTGGGAACTCATCACACACACAGTATTGTTCACTTCTATATATGCACTGTAGTCAGGGCCCGCATACACTTGTGTTGGGGCCTATTTTATAAACGCTTTCACCTAAGCTTTTCAAATTGTATGCCATTGGAAAGATTTGTGAATCCTGGGTGAAAGTTGTCTGAATCTTGTGTGAAAATAAATGTATTCCCAAGATCTCTCAAGTGTATGAAGACAAGCCCTCCATATTGTGTACATCTCCGGAATACATACATCATTTCCCCATCTTTTATACCTTTCAAACACACTGCAAGTACAGAGAAATAACTGTTGCTGTCCCAGAAATATATGACAACACAGTGAGGGGAATTTATCAAAACCGGAGCAGACAAT